AATGCATTACAATGTATTTATATACCCGGGATTATTATTTATTATTATTATGATATTATTTACAATGATAATTATATTATTAAATTCTATATGAGGTAAATAATAAATTCATTATATATTTAATAATACTTTTTTTTTCTTTTTTTTTAGATGAGTTTCGATATTATACAATATTGAGAAGTAAGAAAAAAAATTTTTTTATATATTCAGTTGAGTTGAGTTGAGATAAGTTATTTTGAGTATGAGTATGAGTACATTTGAGATGAGATGAGTTGAGTTATGAATGTTATTAGTGTGGGTCAGAGAACTACGTTGTCGGATTCAATAGGGACAGGAACTTTCGTGCCATAGCGAAGCAGTGTAGTGCTAGGGAAGGCCTCTATGTGTCGTCGGTCCCTACCGTTCATACGGCATACCTTCGGCCATTGCCCTACCAGTTTGGCGTGGTCCGCCTGTGGTACTTATGGCACTGACAAGGGATCTCTCCCTTGTCGCGCGCGCGCGGCTAAGTCAAAATGAGCCGAGAACAATCGAAACGGTTAGCAATGTGAATAAGTTTATTGAGCAAGCAAAAAGAAAAAATTACAGTTACATTTTCTTTTTTACGTCCTGAAGGCGTTTTCTATACAATTGTAAGTGTGGATGATTTGAGGGTAATGAAATTTGTGCGATATCAACAGCACGTTGATAAAACTGACTGGCCTTCGAGTATTCTCCCATGTTTTCATATGTAAGACCAATATCATGCTTTGAAACAGCCAAATGAGGATGATTCGGAGGCAGAGCTTTTTCGAAGATTTGATGTGCTTTTTCGTAAAATTCAAGTGCTTTCGAGTAGTCACCCATGTTGTTATACACTCCACCGATGTTGTTGTAGGAAATAGCCAAATGAGGATGATTCGAAGGCAGAGCTTTTTTCGTGATTTCTAGATCTTTTTCGTAAAATTCAAGTGCTTTCGAGTAGTCACCCATGTTTCTATACACTTCACCGATGTTGTTGTAGGAAGTAGCCAAATCGGGATGATTCGAAGGCAGAGCTTTTTCTCTTATTTTGAGTGATTTTTCGTAAAATTCAAGTGCTTTCAAGTAGTCACCCATGTCATCATACACCGAAGCGATGTTATTGTAGGAAGTAGCCAAATCGGGATGATTCGGAGGCAGAGCTTTTTCGAAGATTTGATGTGATTTTTCGTAAAATTTAAGTGCTTTCGAGTAGTCACCCATGTTGTTATACACTCCACCGATGTTGTTGTAGGAAATAGCCAAATCGGGATGATTCGAAGGCAGAGCTTTTTCTCTTATTTTAAGTGATTTTTCGTAAGATTCAAGTGCTTTCGAGTAGTTACCCATGTTTTTATACACTTGACCGATGTTGTTGTAGGAAGTAGCCAAATTGGGATGATTCGGAGGCAGAGCTTTTTCTTTTATTTTAAGTGCTTTTTCGTAAAATTCAAGTGCTTTCGAGTAGTCACCCATGTCGTTATACACTCCACCGATGTTGTTGTAGGAACTAGCCAAATCGGGATGATTCGAAGGCAGAGCTTTTTCGAAGATTTTAAGTGATTTTTCGTAAAATTCAAGTGCTTTCGAGTAGTCACCCATGTTTTTATACACTTGACCGATGTTGTTGTAGGAAGTAGCCAAATCGGGATGATTCGGAGGCAGAGCTTTTTCTTTTATTTTAAGTGCTTTTTCGTAAAATTCAAGTGCTTTCGAGTAGTCACCCATGTTGTTATACACGAGACCGATGTTGTTGTAGGAAGTAGCCAAATGAGGATGAGTCGGAGGCAGAGCTTTTTCGTAGATTTTATGTGCTTTTTCGTAAAATTCAAGTGCTTTCGGGTAGTCACCCATGTTGTTATACACTCCACCGATGTTGTTGTAGGAAATAGCCAAATCGGGATGATTCGAAGGCAGAGCTTTTTCTCTTATTTTAAGTGATTTTTCGTAAAATTCAAGTGCTTTTGAGTAGTCACCCATGTTGTTATACACTTCACCGATGTTGTTGTAGGAAGTAGCCAAGAAGGGATGATTCGGAGGCAGAGCTTTTTCGTAGATTTTAAGTGCTTTTTCGTAAAATTCAAGTGATTTCGAGTAGTCACCCATGTTCTTATACACTTGACCGATGTTGTTGTAGATAGAAGCCAATGAAGGATGATCTTCTGGAAGAGTTCTTCGACAGATTTCGAGAGACATTTCGCAAAATGAAGCTGCTTCTTTGTGTTGTCCTTGGTCTAGTTTCACCCATCCAAGCTGGTAATAGATATATGCTTTATCACTGTCGCTGGATGTCTGTTCTAGTAGTGCTGTATATAATTCTTCAGCCTTGTCAAATTGACTTATTCTGAGCAGCAATTTACCCATTCGATACCATCCAGTGCCGTCAACTTCTTCTCGCATACGATCGGTTAATTGACGAAGCTGTTGGTCATCATCCGATGTAAGTTTAAGATCCACTTGATAAAGTGAACTTTCCTTGTCAAGTTTTCGAACTTCACCAATTCGAAAAATCGTGTGCATGGAGAAAAGAATTTCTTTTTCACCCTTGTAATAACTCACTTCCTCGATGGAGGCGAAAGGAGTCGATGGGACCCTGGGATCGATGGTTATTTCAAAGAGAATACCGACCATATCGGTTTCTCCTAAGGCATCTCTGACGAAACCGAGGGAAACATCTCGTTTTGTACTGGTGGATAGAAAGTTGTTGAAAGATATGAGACCACCTTTGTTTTTTGCAAGTTTTTCGAAGTCACTTGTCGATAATCCTTGTCCCCTATAAACTAAAAAGGGCTTTCCATGATACTGACTGACCTGTTGGCTGTGTAATTCTTCAATTTGTCGATGAACATCACACAGGAAAAAACCCATTTGGATGATAATGTCGCCATCCAATGTTCTTAATGCTCGATTGATCATTTTGAAGGTGAAGCATTGGCGTGTATACCACCATAAGGCCAATGTTGGATGATAATTACGTTGAAATTCATTGATTAATTTGAGTTCTTTGATATTGCCTTCATATTGTTCTTGGCAATATGTGACCAAGTCTTTAATGGCTTTTTGGTCATGTTCCATGTCAAGGAGTATTTCCTTGAATATTTGAGTATACATGAATGATGGTTCTAGCTGATTAAGATTTTGACTAGAACCATCTGCATCAGCACTAATTATACTGACCACTGTATTATTTTGATTGCATTGGTTGACAGCTATTTGCAATGCTTCGCATATGGATTTGATTGTTTTGTGGACGCCTTTAATTTTTGTCCAATACTTAGCCCATTCTTTATGATATTCCTTGTTGCGACAAAAAATATATATAGTATTAAGATTCCGCATTCCATGAATAGATGGTGCAAGAACTTGTCCAAGTTCACCAGAGGAGATAATGAAAGATGTCTCCT